CAACATCAGTTGGCAGCTGTAAGCAAACCAAACGACAGACCGACCGACAGACAGAAAGGCAGACAGACAGACAGACAAATAGACGACCGTCACAGACATATTGTGTCTGCAAAACTTTGTTGACAACAACAACAACAACAACAACAATGACAACAACAACTACGTAAGGATACAACAACAAGGAGAAAGTGTTTCAGTCGAGTATCTCGCGACTAAAAACCGCGCAATGGAGCGCATGTGAAAACAATGAGATTATTGGTTAAATTTATGTGTTCTCTATGAAGTCTGGCTGCCGGCTGCTGCTAAGGCTCCCTCCGGCCAACCACGCCCCCGTTCCGTGTAGCACACCCCGACACAATTTGCCTTGTAATTGTCGACATGTCAGCACATTAAACGGCTATAAAACGTTGGCAAACTGGCAAATCAAAGCAACTTGTCCCGCGTCGAGCAACTTTTCTAATTTACGGCCATGGAATGCAACAGTTAAGCGCCTGTGGCCTTTTGAACTCTCGACCCCGGCCACATTTACATGCACCCAAGCACACAAACATGCAAGCACCCAAGCCGCAGCGAACGCAGACCAGCTGGTCGGTCTACCTGCAAAGTTGGTCTAAAATTTATCATGACACTAATGAGCATGAAATGGGACAAGGTTTATTAAATTTCCTTTTTAAAATGCGCACATGGCAAGTTGCCCAGTAAGATGCGATGCAGTTGGCAGTGTGTGAGGTGTCTCCCAGTAAAAGGCAACAAGTTTTTTTATTATTATTTTTTTTTTTTCTATGCTCATCATCGCAAGCAGGCGACGGCATTGCATCGAGGCGAACATTGGCGACATGGACGCGGCGCCACGGCGACTTTCGCAATCTCCCGCCCCACCTATCGGCTGCCTAACTTTGCAAGATACCCGGCCGCCGGCCGCCGCCCGCACCCAGCTGCCACACATAGACGGACGTCCAAGCAGCTGCTGCTGCTGCCCGGGCAGCAGAATGAAAAATGTCCGCAAGTGCGAAAATGAATCTGCCCCATGTTGCAATTTATTATGCCAACATAATAAATATTATATACAGTTGGTGTGTCAGCGACTCACAGACCCAACGCGCCCCATCTGGGGCGGAGGTCTCCACTTTTGCTTACACTTGGGTGGCACATTTTTAGGGCGTGTCGCTTTGTGACACTTTGAGAAGTGTTTAAAGTGTTGCCTCGTCCATTTGCCTAATTGTGGCAAAAGCAAATCAAAATGTATCTCACTCAAGAAAATGCAAAGCACATGTGGGAAACACATTTGACACAAACACTTAAACATGCAACAAAAAAGAGAGAAAGCTCGACGTCCTGATCCAAAACTGATTTATATATTTAAGGGTATCGAATATGAAACTAAAGAAAATATCAATTTTAGACATTATATTAGCCAATTAAGGGTTTTAAGAATAGCATAAAGAAGACTAATAATAATGGATAAACGTTTTCTCAATATTTTGGGCGCTTCATAATTCAAAATATTTGCATTCTTGAGGTAAACATCAAAACTTTTCGCCTAATTTTTATCTATTCCTCAAATCTTTCTACTCGGCTTTAAATAATTGGAATGTTTTTGGTCTTTCCACTTGCTATTTGTGTTGGGAGCCTTGTTTATTTTGAGCTTAACTCTTTACAGTTTTTACCCTGGGGTACATGATGACATTTGTTGGGTACGCACCCATAAATAAATCATTCAAATTGTCAACACGAATTTATTTGTGTTGCGTTTTCGTATGATGTAAGTTTCTTGCGGTTCCCCAAGCGGAAATGAACAACATGTTAGTGAGCACGAGCAAGGTGTTGATCAGGGGTATGGCATGGCGGGGGAAGCGGGTGTAAAAAGGCAGCAACACAATGTTGTGCTTTTGTCAGGCTTGCCAAGTCGCTTGCAACGCAGTCTGTCTAAGTCTGTTTCTGAATGTGAATATCTATGTGTGTATGTGTGTGTATTAATATTTTCTGCGTGCGTGTGTGTGTGAATGTGTGTGTGTGTGTGTCAGACTTGGTCGTCTTTGCGGTGGGCAGATATATTATTGCTAAAATACCCTTACTGAAGGTCAAACAAAAATCACAAGCAAGGTAAGAAATATATTTTAGAGAAATCTAAACGAGTTGGGCAATAAAACAAATAAAAAATATCTACCATACTAAAGCATCTATTTTTTTTCTTTATCTTATTTTATAAAACGTAGGGAATAGCTTTCAAAAGATCTCGAGATCATTTTTATTTAAATTTAATGCTCTATCACCTTCTTTGCAACCATATTTCCCTGTCTTTTACTTTCATCCTTATGCCCAGCCAAGTCTTAAACTTCTTCATCTAATAAACCTAACTAAGATTAAGGCCCAAATTATAGTTTTTGAAACAAATTTGGAAAACGAAACTTAGTATTTAAATAGAAGTGTATACGTATGAGGACTCACCTATTAAAACTGATTTGCAGAGACGATATTCCTTGGCTGTTGTTATTTAAGCAAATTTATATGTATGCTGCTGGCAGTGTTGATGCTGTGGCTGCTGTTGCTGCTTTTGGGGCTGTTGGGGCTGTTGGGGCTGTTTGCTTTTCATTTCCGGCCACGTCGACAAATCACAAACAACCGAAAAAGGATATTATCTGCAGCAAAACTGTTTCCGTGGCCACACTATCGTCGCTGCGGTGTCCCCATCCTTGCGTTGGGTGCGCCCTGTCATGTTTATTTGGATAAATAATTTGGAAAACATTTTTCGTTTTTCATTGTGTGTTTTCTTAATGGCCTTTTAAGTGGTCTCCAATTCACTTCAAAGACCGCCTGGCCTCTAATCTCGGCTCGGGCTGTCAACGCCTAACAAAGCGAGTCACGCAATAGAAATACAAGACCCCATTGGGCCAACAAATCTAAATTCAAATCTCACGTGTGCAAATAGAAAACCAAACCAAAGGTGATTTCGGGGTTTTAGGCAAAAGAGCGCCTACACTCCAATTTCCAGCACAATTCCAATGCTAATTGGCTGACCAAATGTTTGTGTCTCCGAAATTTCCACTTGTCATCTTTGATGGCTCACTCGAAATGCTGCCGGAGAGCGGCTGCGGCTGGCTGCCCCTGTGGCAGCAGTTGATTTCGAAGTGCGCTGAAGATATGTCTGGAGCGGGCAGTATATTCATTAGCTTTGCATTATTAGCCTTGGGCTGGATTTACTGTGCCTCAGCCTCGGCCAATCTGACCGAGTTTCTGTCGCATCGCCAGCGGCGTGGACTTATTTTTCAGAACAGCGGTTCTATTAAGTTCAGCATTGGACCCTCGTTGCCAATTCCATTGGGCGACCATGTGTCCTTTCGCTCTGCTGTGCTCTCCTTCACACTGCAAACGTCCAGCAACTTGCCAACTACGCCGATTTGGCCTTGGGACAAATGGGAAAGCACTTTTGCCCGATCTCTGCAGCAAATGAGACGCAACATTGAGAGGAACACGGCAAACGGAGCTGTTAGATATGCGGACGATGCACGACTGTTGACCTACACAGTCCTGGAGGAGTACATGGGCAGAAGGAACAATAATATGATTGTGGGCAGACAATGCCTGCTGCGTTCCATATGCGAAAATGCCCAGGTGCATCATCATGTTGGCATCTTCTCCGAAATACTAAACATTGTCCTCAGGTGAGTAAACAATTTGAATGTTTTCCATCCTTTCATCTGGCTTTTCTGAACTCTTTGTAGTCCGGGTAAGGCTGATTTAGATAACGCCTATCACGATGCTTTTGCCGCTGGCCAAGCGGGTGCTAATTGCTTGGCCGTTTTTAAGGCCTGTCCACGTGGTCTCAACTTTCTGGACGAGCTGTTCGTTTCGGAGCACAACTTGATTGATTGAGTTTTCGCTATGGATTGATGGATTGATGGATTGCATAGATTGGTTAGATTGGATGGAACAATAAAGTTTTGGCAAATCAAAGTGCATGTCTAATGCTTCTTCTTGTTGCGACTGTTGCATAATTTGCGACTCTGTCAAAGGAGCGCGCAGTGAGCATGTGGCATGTGGCATGTGGCATGCGGCATGCGGCATGTGGCAGGAAACGGCAATAGGGGAGCCTGCCCAAGCAAACATACAGTAGGCTCAACTAAACCAACAAGCAGCTTACACGTAGCCTCTTATTTTGATAATTCACGTTTGTGGGCATCACTTGTATCATTTTTTATAAAATCATATAAATAAGCCGAAACAAAAAGAAGCTTATCTGGTTTATTCCACTTGCAGTTTGCATATGCAATATTTTTGTACCTGTTCCTGGTCGATAAGGAGAACCAATTCTAGATAAGGAGAACCAATTCTTCACGGATTATTATTATGTATTATTGCTGTATTCATGATTTCATTTTCATGTTTTCGTTGTCCGCATAAACGTAATAGCCACGAGATTGTTACCTATTCCTATGCGACATCAGAAGTTCAAATACCGCAAAGTTGCACAACTGCTGCGCTCTCTCTCTCTCTCTCTCTCTCTCTCTCTCTCTCTCTCTCTCTCTTGCACTGTGCAATTGTCTCTTTCTCTCACACTCCCACGCTCTCTCTTTGTCTTTGCCCGCACTTTGCACAGCTCCCTGTCAACATTCCCCACCCACTTATCAGCAGCGTTGTTCGCGTTGTCATAATCGCATTTGAATTAGCTGTGCATACAAAACGACGAGCAATACCAAAAACAGGGTGCCTCGTCTAAGTGCTGCTGACTGCGCGAGGCTAACACTTGAACTCAGCTGCGTTGGGAGCACCCGGTGGAGCGCAATTGTCGTGTTGTTGTCGACGTGTAGCTAGCTACCTGGGATGCCTAATGTGCCACTTAAGACGCATTTATTGTCTTTCTGTTCTCGTAGTTGTTGTTGTTGTTGTAGTTGATGGTACTGCTGCATTTCCATTTAATTGATGCCATTGTTGACAAAATGACGGTCGCACGCCCGTTGCACTGCAGCTCTCCCGTGTGCCGCAGTCAAAAGCCATTAATGTTACGGGTTTTTTTCGAAGAACGGCAACATTTAAAGGAAAGGCGTGGCACGTGCAGGCACTTAAATCAGTTGAACATTTGACGCGGCTTAACGGTATTTTCTTTCAACACCATTTTTAGACATTTTTTAAGATTAACTTTTAATCAAATAGTTGATTATATGCAATTGCCCATTGGCTCAGCCCGCCTTGCCAAATTGAAGCTGCCATTTTAGTTGTTCACATCCAAAGTAAAAGCATCCAGAGCACTCGCACCTCTGGGACACTCATGGAACTGCTCACAGCAATCCACACCTGCTAGGCCCGCAGCGTAGGCTTCCTTATAGGCCTCCTCGAGTCGCGCCTTTCCAGGTCTGCAGTTGAGAATGAAGCAATAATGGGATAATTGAGCTGTCGAACTGTCGCACTTACGTGAGTAGCACATTGAGCAGCTCGGCCATGATGCCCACATGATGATGCACTTGCGCATTCTCACACATTGCACGCAGCAGGCACTGGCGACCGCGACCCCGGACTCCGCTCGCATTGTCCATGTAATGCTCCAGCGCGGTGTAAGCAAACAGGCGCGTGTCATCCTCGTGCGATGCGTCCAGCTGGCGAATCTTATCGTTCAGCGATCTGGCAAATACGGACTCCCATTTATCCCACGGGTAAAGCGGCGCTGAGGGCAATGTATATGCCCCAAAGTGTATCACATAAAAGTTGACCATGCTGCGCCAAGCGACAGGATCTTGTAGCTCAACGGCCATGACGGGTCCAACCACAAGGCGAATACTGCCTCCGTTCTGGTACAGCAGCTGATGCCGCTTCTGCCGTGCATGTAGGTAAGCCGTTATATTCTGGGTCGGCGAAATCACATCGTAGGAGGCTTCCAGCCATGGCACAAGCCAAACGAGCAGCAGCAAACAACTTGTTAAATGCATTACTTAAGTTCCTAGGGCAGTCGTCCGTGAAGTGCACAGAGTGCTTGAGGAATGATCTTTAACAGTGCCAGAAATGATCGAACGTTGAAATTTTGTTCGACACAAGCGAAGTAAATATTTGTGCACCAATTAGCAGCTGAATTGGGTTATAAAGTCATCAACTTGGCGGCGTATTTCGTTCAGCTTGAGCACAATAAATCACTAATTCCCTATGTAAAATGTATATTGTGGGGCGGACAACTTTTAGGACTGACTTCCTACATTTAAAAATATCCATAGTACTTTTGAAATATGCGCCTTGTTAAGGCGCCTTGTTAAGAGGCGGTGCGACAGTGTTGATCAATATATATTTGAATTGCACAAGAGTTTCGTTTTGTATTTCTAGAACTCTTATTCACAAACAAGAACTGCCAACCGATTTTAGCAACACTGCACCCATTGCATTATTGCTTTATTCTTCTATTTGATACTGGCCACATTTAAGTTCAAATAACGCGCTTCGTTAACTGGAACTGCCAACCTATGTGAAAACACTACGTACTGAATAAGAGTTTTGAAACAAACACGATCCACAACATCCACCATACAAATTAGTGTAACCGTAAGCAGCTTAAACAAAAATGTCAAATATGAGTAAAATAAGTAAAAACGCCAAAGTATTTGACTTTCGGCCACACATTATCGAGCTAGCATTCAACTTTAGTAGACATCTGTTTAAAAATTAACTAGAAAAATGAGCAGCGAAGCGGTTAAAGCCCAAATGTCCCAAGAGAAAATTGTTGCCCAGTTTCAACAGCTCCGGAACGAACAAAGAAATCTGGCCAACAGCCTAAATACGCTGGAAATGGATCTACGCGAACACAAGTGAGTCAGAATGGCCGCTAACCTAACCTAGAAAATATAAACAACTAATTCTTATTGTAAATTAGAACTGTGATAGAAACCCTCAATTCAGCGGATCCGGAACGCAAGTGTTTCCGTCTCATTGGTGGCGTGCTGTGCGAGCGGACTGTCAAAGAAGTGCTGCCCCAGCTGGTGGACAACAAGGATTTCATTGCGAAAACCATTACAACGGTGACGGAGGATTTGAGCAGAAAGGGTCAGGAACTCAACAAATTTAAGGAGGAGCACAACATCAAAATACGCGGCGAACAAATCGGCCCCGAGGGCACCAAGTCCTCAGAGGCGGAAAGCGGCAGCAAAGCGGAAAACCGCAACGTTCTGGTCTCCAACTAACCTCGGCAGTGAATACCAAACGGCAAACAAACGAAGCGTGTTTATTGTGTCCGATGAGGTTCTTTGTGCGGCGGCACTACAATAATGCATTGATTATGATTCTAATGTTATATGTAATTTTAGCTATAAGGCGCAGTTACACACACACACACACAGAGAAACGCCACTCATCCATCCCCTCAAACAATTCACCCACACAAGCTACACACAACTCACAAAGTCGGCCCACAATTAAAAGAAACTGAGCTAATTCAAAATGACAATGGATGCACAAGCTGCGTGATTTTATTGACGCTGGTAGTCGCGTTTGCCGCCTGACTTGCTCAGCAGGCGTACGTTTGTGATGCAGATGTCATGGGAGACAGCCTTGCACATGTCGTAGACGGTTAGTGCAGCCACGGAAACGGCCGTAAGGGCTTCCATTTCCACGCCAGTCTGGCCGCTGCAGCGCACAGTGGCCACCAGGCGCACACACTGCTGCTGCTCTAGCAGCGTGGCCTGCACACGCACCGAGGACAATGCGATATTGTGGCACAGTGGTATCAGTTGTGACGTATGCTTGGCACCCATGATGCCGGCCAGTTGGGCCACACTTAGAACATCGCCCTTGGCGAGCTCATTGGCTGCAATAAGCGCAGTTAAACACTTACCGACTTGTACAGTGGCCTCTGCGCTGGCTGTTCTCGTGGTGTGTGCCTTGTCGGTGACATCAACCATTTGGGCCTTGCCTTGAGCGTTGATGTGCGTCAAGCCACTGCAGTTGCGCAGCTGTAAATGCTGTAGTTGATGAGGATGAAGCATGGTTCTGCTGCTGCCGATACCTGCAAGCAAACAGTTCTGGGGGGAATGGTGTGCAAGTTCTGGACTAGCCGCCTATGAGTATCATTGGGCGATTTTCCATTTGCGACAGATTCAGCATGCCTGCGTAGGATAAATGCGCCCATTAATACAGACAACTTTTTGACAATTGCAATTTGACACTCACCTGCATGCTGACGCTTCTTGCGCTGCACTGCCGCGCCTATTAGCTCGACCAGCTGCTGCTCGGTGCAGCCTTCGGCGCGCATGGCATCGCGCAATGAGAACTCCTTGTTGCCAAACAGGCACACCTTAATGTTGCCATCAGCTGTCAGGCGCAGGCGATTGCAGGTGCCACAAAAGTGTTCTGTCATGGAGGTAATAAAGCCCAGTTGGCCAGTAAAGCCAGGCACTGCGTACGCCTTAGAGGTGTCATTTGGGCCATTGGGCAGCGCTTGAAACTCTGGCCAACGCTGACGTATGATCTGCACCGTTTCGCTATACGAGATCAAGCGTTCCGTATGCCATTTGTTGCCCGTAAAGGGCATGTATTCAATGAAGCGCACATCAACGGGTCGGTCACGCGTAAACTCCACAAAATCGCATATCTCGTCCTCATTAAAGTTGCGCATCAGCACGCAATTGACCTAAGGGCATACGGAGTTGTTTAGTCATCAAGATATATTGTTCTACAATCAGACAACGCGCACCTTTGGTCGATAGCCCAGCTGTATGGCTAGGTCGATGCCCGCTATGACGCGCTCCCAGCCCTTGCGTCGCGTTATCTGCTCAAAGCGCTCCTTACGCAACGTATCCAAGCTGATGTTCAGTGAATCCAGGCCAGCACGTTGCAGTGGCAGCAACATACGTGTCAGCACCAGGCCATTGGTCGTAATGCCCACATGCTCGAGTTGAGGCAGCGCCTTCAGCTGTGCCACAATCTCCACAATATCGCGACGCACTGTTGGCTCGCCGCCTGTCAGGCGTATCTTGCGCACGCCCTGCTCCACAAAGATGCGCGCCAGACGCAGCACTTCCTCAGTGCTCAGCAGCTGGGCTTTGGGCTGCAGCGGCACACCCTCGGCAGGCATACAATATTCACCTGCAAATGGACACGGTTAGCTTGTGAATTTCACCATGAAACATCTACAGCTTATCAACTATCAAGTACTCAAAACCTAAGGTCTGGCCATCAGAGATAACAATAATTGGGTAGGGAACATGGAATGGAAGTGATTGGGTTTGGGCAAAACTTACAGCGTAAATTGCAGCGTTCGGTGAGTGAAATTCGCAGATATGTGTGATGACGTCCAAAGCTGTCTGTTAGGGGCGAGATCGCAGCGGCTCTGGGCACTTGGCTCTGGCTCTACAGTTGGTGATAAGCGCATGAATCAAATTCTCATTGATCTAAATTATCATCTATTTACCTGTGGGACAGACGCTTCCATTGGCTTGTTTTCATTTTCAATAACGTGCTGTGCACCTGTTGCGGCACTTTTTGTGGCTGTCGCCAGTTTTTGGAATTGGAAACCGGTTGCCAGGCCCGCCACTGGCTGCGCTGTGCATCGGAGCAGCAGCAGGTTTGCGCGTTTCGCTAACAATCGCATTTGATGAATTGTATCTACGCTGCGGCTCGTACAGATTAACTTTAAATGCTATTAGCACGCCAATCTGATTACCTAACCTACAATTCGCTGCTGGGGGCTGCGGCTTGGATTCCTGCGGTGCCATCAAAACACTCAATTTAGACTTGCTTTTGATAAGCAATTATTTAAAGCCAGCAAAGTGCTTACCTCACAAATATACTTGTAAATTCCACGGCTCGTATTGCTCTAGCCCCAAAGTCGACCTGCAACCGGCGACTGTTGTTTATAAACTGAACGCACAGATCATATGGGATTTGTAAACTGGAGCTTTTGGCCCGAAAGCTCTGCACGCAACAAGCACAGTTAAGAGCTGTGATTGCTGTGTGTGTGTGTGTATGCGTGCGCGAAAAACTACTGAATGAACGGTTCTCTCAGAGTCTCTCAACTACCAGATACTGCGTAATTAGTGGTGGTGAAATAATATTTGACTATGCAATATGAGATTCACTTAATTATAATACAATTCGTTTTTCTTATTATATGGATCGAAGCATTATTTAATTCAAATTGTAATCAAGTGTGATTTTGAGAGCTTTAAAGCTTGTTAAAACATGTTTATCTAACATTTGACATTATATTGTGCCCGTATAAACCGTTACATATGGACAAATCGAAGAGGTATACAAACTAGCATTATACCCTGTACCAATCGAACTTAACTTATCCAAAATAAGGTAACGGGTCGCAATGGGATATTCAAGTTTAATATGTGTACATACATACATTTTATTTCTGATATTGTTTTGAATTATCGAATTATAAAATATTGGTTGTGTTTAAGATTTTTATCAACGTAGATCCGTTTTGGGTATGCACACGCACATGCAGGTTCAATTGTTATTTTCAAGCATTCATGTTCCATCCCTTTTGCACTACGCCACTGTCACAGCCTTTGATCCACTGAGATCTTTACCCATTGCCTTGTCAAATTTCCCTCAGTCAGTCTTCTGCTTGCCTCGCTGCTGTTTGGTTCGTCGATGGTCTGCTGAACAATTGTTTATTCTATCCGATCTCCGGTTCCCTTTTTTGTTTTGTGTTTATTTAAAATTCGAATAGCTCTGTGCCACAAACACATTTGCACCATGCATAGCATGCGTCTTTGGAATCTCAAGCGGCTCTCGTTGCTGCTCAGCGCGGTCTTCTTGATATACTTCTTTGTTTTCTCCGGCGGCTATCATAAATATCAAATAGACGGCGTTATCGGCAAAGCGAAACCGGAAGCAGTTTGGGAATATGTGGCGGACTTTAATAAAATGCGCTTGCTGAATCCCACAATGTAAGTACACTCATGGATCTCACATAGCAACAACTAACTGACGGCACAAATCGCCAGCATAAATTTCAAGATTCTGGCCGATCATGGCCACGCCCATGACTGGCGCTACACGGTGCAGTATACGGAACGGCTGTCGCACTGGCCCCACTGGCTAAATGAAGCCACCGCCAAATATGTGGTTACCAAGACGATGCCGGGTGTCCATCCACCAGCCTGGGCCATCCAATCGACGCATAAGACGTGCTTCTTTCGCGGACTTTATTGCTGTAAGTATGTCGGAATGTGCCAAATGTGCCACATGTTTGACTTTTCCAATTCTTTTTTCTCCCAGTGCACTCGCTTAGCGAGTTCAGTTTCAGCGCCCTCGGCAGCGACACATATGCGAATGAGAAGATCCAATATCAGTGCCCGCCGCTCCTAGGCAGCGCTTGTCGACGTGAGCTCGAGTTCCAGCGCCGCGCCGTTATGCACAATCTGACGCACATTTTCAAGCGAACCTAGCTCCAGCGTGCCACAAAAAAGCAAAAGAATCGTTTTCCATTCTAATCTGTTTGCCGTATATGTATTTCCACATCCATACACTTGCACATTTCATTGAGTGCACATAAACAAAACATTTGCATTTAGCTAAATTAACTAATAATTGTTGCTAAATTTATCTGAATTGTAAAAAACTGATTAAAATATGCATGTGAACTAAATGGACAATTCAAGCTCACAGTTGAAACTTTTAAATTGTTCAATGCTCGCCCCTCTGTATTATATATTTAAAAATATTCTTTGTAAACGGACGCTGTTAACTTGTCATTGAGGAACTTCAGAGAGCGCCCCTCACAAATTGATTTTAACAGCGTATACAGTGTATATCCCTTAAAGTCGGATATTTGTGATAAATGAATAGATTAATTGTCCCCACATTGCCGTCTTGGGGACCTTAAAACTGTTCTACATCTTAACAAATTATAGAAAAAATAGTAATGTGATTCTTACTCATTCCATTCAACAAGGTGTTTCAGAGGTATCTGGTTAGAGAAAATGGATCTCCTCCACGGCCTTGATATTGATTAATATTTTGGCAAATTGTTTAAACACGACCCACTGCATAGTCTTGAGTCTCATAGTCTTGAGTCTTTTGTACAGATCGGAGCACCTCACTTATCGAGCTGCAGTCGCTTGCGTTTTCCAGCTCCACCACTGCGAGCCATGCGAGCGCGCGCCATTTTGTCGGTTGGCACTACAGGCGTACTAGGCGCACTTTGGGATTCCCCTGACACCGCGGCTGCAGTGGCAAACCAACGTGTCAGTTTCGTCGACTGTGTGGACTTGATGCTTTTGGGTGACTTGCGCAGCACTTGACTGGCTTGAGTTCGCTGGCCAGCATCCTCTGGAGTGCCGCCGGAGCTAATCAAATAGTTAGTAATTTTGTTGCGCTGGGGCTGTGACTGTTGCTGCTGCACGGGCGACACATTCCCCATGGAGTCGAGACGCAGCCGACTGCCGAATTCGCCATTATTAGTTATCTCAAAGATGTCATCATCCAGCAAAGTGAAGCGGCGGGGCGGCAGCTGTTGCTTGGGGCTGGGCAAATTTGGCAATAATTGAACACCTAGGTCGCTATTCTTAGTATTTTGCGGCTCAAACATTTGCTCCAGAATGTCCAAGCAGGAGCGTTCGCGCTTCTTTTTGACCGGCATGCCAGCTTGTGTTTTGGCGTGCTGCTGCTGAAGCTGTTTTACTTCCGAGCCAAAGATCTTGAATCCCTCAAACGGTGAAACTGAAGGCACAGGCTGTGCCAGCGTGAGCTGCGATAAATCGGAGCAGTTGCTAAATATGTCAGGAGATTTGTTGACCGATCCACGTTGCTGTGCTAGCAACATGCCAAAACTGGAGGTGGTGGGCTGCGACTGTTGCTCCTTGGAAGGAGCTGGACGCTTTCTTTTTAATGCTCGAGTGCGTCGGCTTTGTGATTGTTTAGCAGATGGCTGGGAGCTTTCGTCATGCGAACTGTTGATGACCACTACATCTGACTTTTGTTGGGGACTCGGTGCGATAGCCACTTCCGAGTCGCTAAACAAATTCAAAGGGATGGGCAACATGAGTGGAGTTGCCGGCGGCACGTGCGGTACACGAAACTGAGGCAGCTCCAAGGATCCGAGTTCTGCGAGGTTCTCTGGCAGCTTTTGTGCGCATTGCAAATACGAATTATCGGACTGCAGGGAACCGGAGCTTAGTAGCTCTGGCGTGGCAGCTGGCGCAGACTTCACGGTTACTTCACTGATCTTTCCCCTTCTTTTATTGCTAGGTAAAGATTTCGGTTCTTTAGACAATTTTCTCTTCGGCGCTCGCCCTATCTTTTTAGTTTTCGGGTTTCCTTTAGTTGGTGTTGTCTTTGACTTTTCAGCCGTGACTGTGACCTCTTGTTTTACTTCCACTTTTTTGAGCTTGCTAGTTGTGGGCGTTTGATTTGTATCTGAGTTGCGTTTTCGTTTGGGAGTGACTTTCTTATCGTTGTCCAATGTCCTCCGGAGACCCATGTATTTGCTGTACGGCCGTGCATCCGCGGAACGCGTCATTCTTTGCATTCCACGCGTCTCTCTAAGTTGGACGCCAGTTGAAATATTTGCGTCAGTGCGTTTAGACCTGGGCTCGGTCTTGGGCGTGATTGGCAAGGGTTTAGGTTTATCATCTTTAGGCGTCTGCGGCTCAGGCGTTGGTTTTACAGGTGGGTCAAGTTTTACCTTGTTATTAGGTTTAGCACGCAACAACTTTATTTCTAATGGTGTTATCTCTTCGGGCGGCTTTTTAGATACTTCTTGCCCTGGTTTTGACGCCTGTTCTTTTGGTTTGTGCGAGTTAGTTGCTGCCTGTTCTTTTGGTTTGTGCGAGTTAGTTACTGCTATTATGTTTAGATCCTTTTGGGGTAAGCAAACACGACTTAATCTAACATTCAGTTTTTTCCCCTTTATTTTCGGAGTTGGGCGCTGCTCCTCTGCCTCTGAATCAGTAAGCTCGGCTGACTTTGCAGTCTGTGCACGTTTTGTGTATTTTCGCTTAGTTTTGGACGTTTTTGAATTTGTTGCGCTTAGAGCCGAATGTGTCGGAGTGATTGTCGGCGTGACTATCTCACAATCATCGCTGGAGAGCATAACCACATTAGTGTTTGACTCCTTGGCTTGTGCATCTGTCACGTGTGTGACTTCCACCTCGGGCTCCGATTCGGACATTTCGAAAACCAAAGGCTCCATTGCTATTACTTCATCACTGTGCTCAGACAGCGATATTTTATCTGGATCCATTTGCTGATTCGGTGCCAATTGTCTATCCCGTTTCGTGCTCATCAGACACTCGAGAATTTCATCGGTGCCTCCTGTGGAAGTCGAATCTATAGTTGAACCACTTAATATACTATTGCTATTGTTTTGTCCCAGCCAAAGCGTTAAGTTCCTCTTGTATTGTTCGGGTGTGACAAGTGGTAGATATGAATCAAACTGATGGCGATAACGTCGCAGGCGAAAGTCTCTGCAAATAAAATATATTGTTAGATCATTTCCATATGTCATGAAATCACATAACAAGAGACATAATCATTTGGATGCAATGAATTGCTTTAACAATTGATTGTAATTTTGAAAATGATTTCATGGCTCCAAGCAATATTATGTAATCGTTTGATTTACTGCTGATTTTCACCAACTTGATGTATTCGCCAAGAACACCCCGCTGTTTGTAGTACTCCTCAAGATCGACACGTTTGCTCAGCACCTCCTTAACAGCGGGCAGATGAAATTTGCGCTCAAAACTGCGAAAGCTCTTGTGCTGATGTTCCAGGCAGCCACCCAGGCTCATCACATTGTACAGCAACTTCACGTCAGACTGGAGAAAAGGCAGAATGCATATAATACCAAGTGTTCCTTTATAATTCTAATAATGCTACCGTTATGTCCACACTAGAGATCACAATGTTCACTTTGCGCTCGAATTGCTTGAGAAGCATGGAAGTGCAAAAGTTGTTATTTAATGTATAGCCACGATGATCGACAATGATGTAGTCAAAGTTTAGCTTGCTGAGATCGCCAATGCTGCGTAGAACGCTCCATTTGCTTAGATAAACGCTATGCGCCGAATCCGTACTGTCTGCAGATTGAAGGTGATTCAAAAATATGCTAGCTGATAAGAATTGGCAAATGAATATTGCAAGCTACAGACCATTGACGTCCTTTATAACGCACACAGGCAGGTCGGATAGGACGCCCAAGTGAAACTGCCAGCCAGCCAGCAACTGCTCATCGTTCTGCAACACAATTAATGTCTTTTTGGATATTCCCAGGCCATTTAGCAGTGCCACAACTGGCGCACTTTTGCCCAAGCCGCTCTCATCGTTAAATATGCAAAATTCTTGTTTGGACAGCCGTTCATAGAGAAAACGCACAGCTTCCAGTTGAAAGCACTTCAGGTACTGTGTCGTATGGCTGGAAATAAGCACATTCTCGGAGAGGCGCAGTTCCGCTGTTTGTTCTGAGACAAAGTGATACATTTGCCTGGTATTAGCCTTTTTTTAAACGTGCCTCTTTCGCTTTTTTTTTGTTTTTCTTAGTGGACGTGGTGCAGAGCCAGATAGATTGCCACGAGTATGTAGAGAAGTTTGAGGTATGAAAATATCACAAACATTGAAAACGAACCAATTATCATCTTTTTAGACGTCAACGGTCCATCGATGTAATCAGGATTAAATATATCCAAGTTGTTAATATTGTTGTTGTTGTAGACGACATGCATGTGTAAGCAAATTTTGCAGGTGTCGTGGGAAAAAATGCTCGCGTATTGTGCCGGCGGGAAAATTGTGTCTTGGACGTGTCTTCACGTTGTGGTGTATTTTATATTCACTATAAACTCACATAGATATATTAAAACGCTATTTCATCAACAAATATACATTCTTAAGCATATTGCGAATAAAATAAAAACTTCTTGTTCTTGCACCTTGCAACACTGCACTTTTACTGAATTAGCGATGGGTAACTGCCCACAACTAAAGATGGACGCAAGTCGATAACTTTTACTGCGATATATCGCAAGCATGAAAATTAATTGAACAAGCACGATATATATTGGGAATATTTATGCATATAAATATATCATATATAGAAATATATATGAAATATGAATTTTATCTTACTATTATTTTATTAAAGATCAGATAATTACCGGGCTACCTTTAATTTTCCGTATGTTAATACTATCGGAGCGCAGCCACAATTGTGTATCGTTAATGTCGTTACAGTGGCGACTCCACAAGTTCTTTGACGCGCTTGAATAATAATAATAAAAACTAGAACTATGCTCTTGCCTAATAATAAAAAGCCCAGTGCGAAAAGAAAACATGCCGAAGATTCTCCAACTGCTGCCCCAGTGTCTTCGCCTGCCAAAAAGAGAATGGTGGTCACACCTTGGCGCGACACGTGCGTTTTGTGTTATTATTTGTCCCAGGAAGAGTCTCTTACATTTGACAATCTAATTGCAGCACAGAGTTTAGCACCGTGTACGAATGGTTGTTTGCAAAGCAAACGACGCCCGCAAATTGTCGGAAGGCTCTCAGCCAGATGCGAATATGGAACCTGCGTCGAGGCAGTCTCTGTCCGGCTTCTGTGCTAGCCACTGCGGTGCTGGTCAGGGCCCAGCTGGAGGATAAGCAGGGTAGTACCAACATACAGCCAACGTATGCCAGCGCCTTTACGCGCTTTTTTAATTTCATGTCCTCGATCATGCAAAACTACAACATCAGCAGCATGTACACCACGGCACGGCAACTCGGCCTGCAATCCTTCATCGTCGACTTGAGACACTTGTGTGCCCATGGTCAGGAGTTGCCGCCAACGGTGGTGCTGCGTCACACAGCTGCACACTGTTTGGAATGGTTGCGAAACTTTTACTGGCTACCACAATGCGAGAGCATGAGCAATTTGGATGCCCCGAAGCTGCAGCGTAAGGATAAGGCGAAATTTCAAAATGAGCTGGAGATTTTGTTTGAAATGTTTGACTTGGCATTGGAGTGCCAGTTAAAAGGTGCCCAAAAGCTGAAGTCGGTCAGCAAACTGAAGCCCAGTGCGGAGTTCAACAAGATACGAGTTTATTGCTCCTCGAGGAAGCTGAAAACTACTAGAGAGATTATGGATACTGTGGTTACCGAGCTGGGCACAGCTGTAAAACGCCAAACGTCATCAATGAAGGATTTGCTAGACATATACATGACGGGTATACTTAAAATGAACTATTTACTTGGTGCTGGCCTCAGCCACAGCGAGGATGAGGACCTCGTCATTGAGGCCACCCAGGGTCTCTTTCGGCTGCTGGCCATGCAGGGTTACATTGAGAATTTGTTTGTAGCCTTCGTACAACTAACAGAGAATTCGAATGCGGATGATGAGAGGCGTCGTGGCGCAAGCTATTGGGCTACAAAAATGCTGCAGACCTTCGGCATGCTGAGCCGAATGAAGCGTATGTACAAAGAGGAATTGGATATGGTATGTAGCTGCTATATAAATTCTGAACCCTTACTATATTTATCTGTATTTATAGAACTCAAAGCTCAAGCCAGTGGATTTCTCGACACTTAATAAATCAAAGATATCAAAAACTATGCGAGCGCTGCTCATTCACTCGGGCGTGGATCTGGCGCTCACATTGGTGTTTGGCGAGTGTCCAAAAAAGCCGCGCTCTTGGGTATTTGAGCGAGAGTTTCTCATGAACAGGCTGGATCCCTTGAATATACACTCAGCCCCCGTCCTAAAAGGGTAAAATGATCAATATAATTAGTTGAGTGGGAGTTTAAACTGTTCTTATTCAAATTTCAGTTTGCTGCCGCTTGTGGTCCCGCCACTAACTGACGAACAGCTTGAAGATTTCAGCAAACAGTGTAACCTAAAATTGCAGGACACAAACGGGGAGCAAAAGATTATTGTTGACAAACAGTCTACGGATATCACCAAAAACGGGAGTCAGCACAAGCCAGAGGATGATGTTTTTGGCATTTGGTCGATAGAGAAAGGTTAGCACAAATTATAAATTGTGCTTATTACAATGCTTTTTAATATTAATCTATTTTAGAGAAAAACTGGTCAATGTGTGCGCTTGGAGTACTACCTACCACCTTAAATTAAGTTGAATACATTAGAAAAGCTCTAATTGCTGATCAATTTTTATTTAGCATTTAAGCCGTAAAAATAAAATGACTTGAAGAAAATTTATATATATTGTCTATATATTTCATCAACAAACAGTAAACAGGAAACACTATTTAAAATGCGCGCCCCTTAGCTGCTTCACTCATTTTAGCCATTCCCGACACTTATGATGGTCTTTTCCAGCACTGGCTGTTCAAGCCATATTTATTTTTTTCATACAATTTGGGAAAGAATTGAAAATGGACTTTCAGCGAAGCGATGCTATGTTAATGGAAATATTACAGGAGCGGAAAACCATTACTGGATTCTTGGACGCAATATTTGGTTTTTTGAGACGCAAGTAACAAAGTATTTAATTGATAAACTGGATAGGGTAACATCAAGATATTTTGCAGTACCGACTTTTACCATACCAAGAAAGATCCAGAAGACAAAATCGGGTTTCCGAAAGGATTGCGGGATCAAATTCTCTATGGCGCCATGCAGCGCTACGACCCCGACTGTTGGCTGCAAACTATGAGCGCGGAAAGCGGAATTGAAGACACTGGGGAAAATGCGCCGCCTGCCATTCAGGAAGTGTCTGTGGAGACTGATGAACAGACGCCTCCTAATAGTCAGACTGAGCCAAGTAGGGCTGCTAGCGATGTTAGTCGGGGATTTGAACCCGGCGACTTTAAGAACGGTGCTGCATTCGAGCATCACTGTTGGTCGCAAACCCTAAAGGATTTGGAAGTGCAGGTCCAGCTGCCACCCGGTCTTAAAACTGCCAAACAACTGTGCATCGATATCAAAGCACAGCATATCAAGGTGAGCAGTAAAAGTGCACCAGCGCAGGTAATCTTAGAAGGAACGCTAAGTCAGCGTATACGGCAGAATGATGTCATGTGGTCCATAGAAAATGGCCGACTGCTGATCTGCTGTGGTAAGCATTTCGAAGTAAACGAAGAACGTCCCTTTAAACGATAACATTTGTAGACAAAGCGAAGGAGCGATGGTGGGAGCGCCTGTTTGAGGGTGACGATGACATCGATATCAAGAAACTCGACTGCGAACGCTACATAGATGAGCTCCCACAGGACTCGCAAGTTGCCATTGAGAAGCTGCGAGTACAGCAAATGGCAGCGGACAAACAACAAAACGCTCTACACCCAACAAGCCCAGAGCAGGTCGAAACAATAGAACGCTTGCGAAAAGCGTGGGATGCGGAAGGTTCGCCATTTAAAGGACAGCCATTTGATCCGTCGGTGGTGCGAATGAGCTAAAACTTTATTAGTTACATTAGGTTACGAGAAAATAAACGTACGTTGTTATAAGTATATTCTTAACAAAGAATGAGTTATGGCTTAAGCCCAAGACGATGACGATCAATTTGTACTTGTGATTCCGTCAAAGGATAGATGAGGCACATTTGCTTCATCGGTGGTTTAAATGAGTTAGTAGTTTATTAGGTACGAGAATATAAAAAGGTATGTGGTTATAGTTAAAGACTAAACTAGGAGGGAGTTATTGTTCAAGATCAAGTGCATGATGCCCCTAATGAGCCTTCAAGCCGAGTTTTTTACGCTGCAGCTGCTTCTGCTGGTAGGCGACATCAGTGTCATCAGTAGACCAAGCTACGTACATGTACGTAGTAAGCAGGACAGCGAGCAGCAGCCGATCAAGGCTCATTACATTGGTGACAAACAGAATTAGAGTGAATCCAACGAAGGATGGATGGCGCACATGTGAATAGAGATTGCGCAACTCAAGCGACTTATACGCTAAGGGCTCCGAGTAGTTATGTAGATCATAGTAGGTCTGCTTGACGCCCAGCAATTCCACCGGATCCATTATGAAGGTGCCACCGTAAATGACTGTCCAGCATAGTGCATGAGTTATCACAAAAGTCCACCAGAGCGGTGCGCTCTCATCCACATTGATCTGCCAGAGCACAATAGACTGAGCTGGCAGCCAGTTTTGTACGAGATACTAAACGAATAGTGAGCATATGTCTATACGCAAATTCAAGGCTATTTTATGATTCTTGTACGCACATGTAAACAAAACGATGATGTCAGAGTATAAATAGTTCGCTCCGCGGGAGCCAAATGCAATTTACGCAGCAGATTCTTTACGAATGCTGACTTGAGGAAGCTGTGCTGAAATATGAATCCAATCACATAGAGGGTGTCCATTACAATTGGCCCATAGGCGGTTTCCAATCGTGACTTATTGTCCAATAAATTAAAGATCCAAGTGTGCGCATTTGAAATAGAACGCGGTTCGGAAAGAAAAATCGTTAATTTTCTGACCACGTAAAACGTATAACAGAATGTCGCTAGAGAGGCTAGCAACACAATAACCTTCGCAAAGGACGGCATTTTAACTTCCTTTTTTTCTTCTATTATTTAAACAAAATACAAAAAACGTAAACAACTTGACGCGACCAGCAGCAGAGAATAAGGCGGTGTTGGAAAATCTTTTTGCACTGGCAATGGATGGTCACCCCAGAAATCCAACAGCTGTTTGTGCGCGTCTTTTAGTGATTGGCAAGTGTGGCTTTGAAACTGACGTCAACAATTATTTAGTTATTTTATTTTATTTTCTTTTAAGTAGTTGAAAAAAATGTTTACACTGTGGACACTGATTGAGGCCTCGCTGCTTTGCCTGAATGCAGTTTGCATTTTGCACGAGGAACGTTTCCTGGCTAAATGTAAGTTATTGCAGTCAAAATCTTCCTACAACTGACCCAATGCAATGCACTTACAGTTGGCTGGGGCCGGCACGCCGGTCAGCAGGATTTCGGAGCGCCCAGTGCCAAGGATCAAGTCTTAAATCTCATTCGCTCAATTCGCACAGTTGCCAAGAGTGAGTTGCCATATATATACTTATATGTCCACAAGACTAACACGTGTCCATATTTCCCACTTTGCAGTTCCACTGATATTTCTTAATGTAATAGCGATTATATTTAAACTGTTACTTGGGTAAAACTTAAATTCTATTGTAATAAATGTACTAGTAATGCTTTTCGGAAAAGTCATGATCATTGCCCTGCGTGCTGACTCGATTTGCGCTGCAGCACACACTTAACCCGATTCTCCAACGCTATGCTATATGCATCCAACTTGTAAGCAGCCGCCTCCAACTTGTCCACTGTGTCCGATATTTCATCGATTTGCTGCATGAGCGGTGCCAACTGTTGAAATTTGCCGCACAGTTCGTTGGTGGATACGTTAAGGTTTTCGGCAATTTGACGCATGTCTTTATACTTGGCTATGGTTGCCTTGTTCATTTCCTCGAGCAATTTATAGTCCTCTAGCGGCGCATTAAGCTCGTGTGTTATATATTCTTCGGTTTTTTGGAACATCTTCGTGGCCAGTTTGCTGAGATTCGGATCATGAGCGTGTGCTAGCGCCTCGAAACTGGATGTTGAAGTTGACAATGTTGGCCCCCGCATTGGTGAGTCGAGTAAGGGGTTGTGATCCTGATCCTTTGCTTGAGCTGCATTAGCGCTTGTTGTTGGCTGCTCTTTTTCCATGTTGTACGAATTTTCCAAAACAATTTCACTAACAGCTGATGTTGCCGGCTCGTTGTGAGTGGTAAATGGCACGAGCACTGCGAATAGTTAACGCATGCGTTTCGTTGTAACTGGCAAACATTGTGTGGGTAAAGCTTGCACAAATGGTTACTCAAATGTATCGCCCTAAAACTCTTGACTCAAGATGGCATCTATCCGTATGACAGTGAAATCCTGGTTCATATTTATTCGCGAGTGCCTTATGCGGCCGAACCACGAAAAAAACAATAATTAAATAACACTTATGTTACGCTACAAGGACGATTAATTCGTACGTGCAGGATATCATATGCTATTGTCGTTATTTATCACAATCACGGTATTTATCACAATATCACTGTCAAAACCCCGCCATACTTTAAGAAAAAAGTATTATTTTGAATTTCTATTGCTTTAACCGCTGTTTTCGCTCAATAATGGGAAAACATTGATAAACATCGGGAAAAGATCGATAAAACAGAAAGAACAAAAATCGACGTACCGATGTTATGTTAACATTTCGTTTGGCACTAATCACTTTAACTTCGTTTGTCTGAAAGATAGCATATTTAAATGTCACGTCAGAATAAAGAGCTGATGCATAAGCATCTTTTTGATGGCACCGCTTGGAATGTGTACAACCCGAATCTTTTAAATCTAAGCGTAGGTGCCCCTGGCCCAGATCTATTGGAGCCCTGCTGTGATATTTTTCAACAGGCTACTGCCCATTGCTTGGTGAGATCTCAGCTACTCTTATCATTATGAGATTACAATTTTAATCAAAGTTATCTTTGTACATACCCAGGAACACGAAAAGAAGTCCAACAATTCTCTGATCTTTCAATATGGACCAACAAGTGGAACTTATGAGATACGCAAAGAAGTTGCCAAGTTCTTCAGCGAGATGTACACCAACTCCGTTAACTGGTAATCGTACTAAGGATGGAATGCATTGCACTGAATTGTTTTGAATGTGCTTCCTTTTAGCGAGGACTTGATAATGACAACTGGCGCAACGCAAGGCTTACATTTCGTGCTCTCTACTCTGATTGACTTTAGCGGTTATATCTTTGTGGATGAGTACACATATATGATTGCATTGGACAGCATGAGACACTTTACGAGTCTTAAAATCGTTCCACTTAAGCTGAATGACGATGGCGTGGATCTTGATGATCTAGATGAAAAAGTAAGAGGGCGTCATTTTAAATCAAAGAACAAGGAATTTTGGGCTATTTATTATACGATTCCCACTTACCATAATCCTACTGGCATATTGTTTTCACCGGGTGAGTACAAAAGATGAGATGAGTTGTTAATAGAGATAATGACAGTATCTTATCATTTCTGTGCACTCCATTTTTAGCTGTTTGTCATGGAATTGTGCAGTTGGCACGCAAATATGACTTTTTAGTACTGTGCGACGACGTCTACAACATTCTCCATTATGGCGAAAAACCCTCAATTGATCGTCTAATATCCTGTGACGCGCGTACTGATGCGGATTTTGTCGGCAATGTCATTTCCAATGGCAGCTTTTCGAAACTTATTGGACCTGGTGTGCGCCTAGGATGGCTGGAGGTGCCACCACGTGTCAAACCGCTTCTAGATAGCAGTGGAATCATTCAGAGCGGTGGTGGTTTCAACAACTACACAGCTGGCATTGTGGCTAGTCTGTTTGAGCTGCAGTTGGCGCAATCTCACATTGCACGGCTCCACGAAGCATACAAAGAGCGGATGTTGGCGACCATTGAAATACTGAAGTCGGAGTTACCCAAAAGCTGCCATTTTGTGCCGCCTAGTGGAGGATTTTTTATATGGATACGTTTGCCGGATCAATTAAAAGCGCTCGATTTCATGGAATATTGTATGGAGCGTGAAAGGATTACATTCATTGGAGGTTCACGTTTCGCTGTAGAAGAGGGCAAGGGACAGCAGTTCTTTCGTATAACTATAGGTTTCTACAACAAGGAAAAACTTGTTGATGGGGTCAAGCGTCTTTGTCTGACTTTGACGGATTATATAAAGACTGTTGACATGAATAATTGTTGATTTTATAATATGGCAATGAGTTTCAATTGCTTGTCTGTTGTTATCGTATTTTAAATAATCCTTATAAAGATACGACTTAGAACTTAATCAGCTATGTAGTTATAAATTATGAACATACGATAAAATATGCGTATGTAAACATTTTTGGGCACACTGCTTAAAAATATCACAAATTTGATCAAATTTTAAAAGTATTCAAGTTTAACTTTGCAACACCTCGTCTTAATCCACTCTTTTTTTTGAGGATGAGAATTTTTAACGATTTAGTATTGGATATTTTGTGCATAATACTTTGCTTGTACGACAACTGAAATGCGTGACGGCAAATTCGAAGGAAAAAAATAACAAATTTATGACTAAAAACAATTGTAAAATATTCAGTTATTCAGTGAATGTGAGCACAATCTCCTTGAGAGAGGTATACGTGCCAATTACAAGACCAAGAATGCCCACAATAATTAGCACAAAGTTGCCTAAGAATAAATTGTAAATAATTATGTTCATATACTTTAAAGACTTCGTCTTTAATACTCACTTAACAGCAGCCAGCCCTTGCTCATACCGCTTGTTTCGTACCAGTGCGTGCATATTTGAATCAGAGCTGGAAAGGCCAATCCCAGCGCGGATAAGCACAGAGCGCCAAATAGCGAAATAAAGAGCTCCAAATTGGGTATGGCTACGGCCAGGAGAACTACAAGACGATCACATGTTTATAAATCTTTGTTGGCTCATTAGCTTATTATTTAGCTACTTACACGTGATCAGCACAAGGCCCGTACGCACTGCATATTCCCAGAATAGCTTGTTACGCTGTGGACCTAGCTTCTTGCCAACGTAATCGTTCCAGGTGATGTCGATGGCCACATAACAGGCCAGACCGTGTGTGATATAGATGGCAAAGGCCAGCATGCCCTTAACGCACTGAGCTGGACTACATTAGAATGATAGACAATCATTAGTATATGTCAATAGCAATGTTAAAGGTATATTTACATCTCGTGCTCCGGCAAATTTAGGGTAATGGAGCCCAGCACACTGGAACCATAGTTCAGGTAACCGAACAGGCCCATGCCAACGTACAGGAACACAATCAATACCATAGATACATTTAGAACGCCGCAGGAACCGCCAAACTTGTGTGGAGACTTCATCTCATTCTCAAGCGGCAATATGACGCCAATGGCCTCCAATGCGAACAAAACCGTGCCAAAGAATAATGGAAAGTTCTCCAGCTTGCCAAAGGCCTCTTTGCCATCAATTGTGACGGGCTCCCGAAATATATAGTAGCAAATGAGGCCAAAGGACACCATAGTTATGAAATTGGCCAGTGTGGAGAAGGGCGCCAGGTACTTTAACTGGCGCACCCAGTTAATGAGTATCAGCGGAATCAATATGATGATCATGCAGAGACGCACATCTATGTTCGTATCGCAGACGGCATCTACAATGGACTTGATGTTGGACGCAACAAACACCACATAAACACAGCAGGTGCCCAGCTGGTAAATCAGCAGAAATACATTCACTACGGTGCCTATATAGGGTGCACAGGCTTTAAAGAAAGCGGGACCTTCACTCAGCGCCGTCTCCGCCACAGCCGGATAGTTCATACTGGGCACCTGTGGCAAATAAACAGTCAGATAGTGCTGTCAATAAAAATACAAATTGGCATGAACTCACCTTCCTGCGCCGACACAGTTCATATTCGGCTTTGACCAGCTGGTGTATGCAGTAGGTGCATATAAAACCAATCACAATGGTGCCTATGGAGCCCGTTACGTAACCGGAGTTCCGAAACGCATTCGGCATGGCCAGAATACCTGTGCCAAGAGAGCCCTTTAGCAAATGGAATAGTGTTTCCCAGTTGCTATTGGTGCCATAGAAATGTTAGGTTTGAGTGGCTTTTGGCATGTTTAATGTGGCTTACGTTGTTGGATGTGGCACCTCACGATGTTCGTAGGGATTGTATTCGGGATCCTTGGCGGCACCCTTCTCCGCCAGTTCCAGGGAATATTTGTTGCCGCTCTGCTGCTTGACATTGTCCACATGATCGCTGACAAACGCCGGATTGTTGTGTCCATTTTTACTCATTGCTGGCCAAGAGAGAAGAAAAAAAGAAATTCATTAAAAAAAAAAGCAAATAAAAAACGGAGGATTGCAGCGAAAACTCATTTGTGGTGGGACTATAATCAAAGGCTAGTCACGCAACAATGCACGTTATTTAATTGCTGACACTATCCATAGAGATCACGATCTATCTAAGCACAGCAAATGCAGCTGAAAATAGCTTGATATATTTCTAAATTAAAAGCAGACCCAGCGCAATGTCAAGTTCAGTGGGACGGAATCGTTGCCCCCGTCATATGAGCCACATGAGGGCATACACCGACTTTTCTGTGTCGGCTTTGAGTGGGTTTGCGAGTGTAAGTGTGTGTGTGCGTGTGTGTGTGTGTGTTAGTGTGAGTGTGTGCACAACATCGTCAGCAACTTGTCGTGAATGAAACGTGCTAACATTTTGTAATTGCAGCCAATTTTACTGTCACTTGTGAGTGGTTTCGGACTGGACTTTGTTGTGATTTTATTTAGCGTTTGAAATACTTAGTTATTTAGCTGTTACCGTTACCCCTTTTAAAAGACAAGACAATTATTTAGCTGAACATCAAGCAGCAAACAACAATTGCCCATGTCTTAATTAGAAAATATTTTCGTCTGACATGTACAATTTGTAGTTTTATTGCCCCGCTATTAGGCACCAGATCTCAACTAAGATAAAACCCTAGTCTCAGACTCAGATTCCCAAAAGCGAGAAATGGAAATTTTGGCAAATCCAAGCACACTTGTGGACTTACGACACTTTTTCCGGTTTTGCGAGTGGTGTGTGCAATTATTACTATATTCAATTGTACGAATTGACTTCTTGACTTCCACACATATGTACTACATTCAACTATAGTTGTAGAATCGACTGGATGCTTGCATGCTATAGAACGTGTATTATTCAAAGCACTTGCAATGCAGTCGCTCACTTACAAGAAATTTTGTGCTTGTGTTGTTAACTGTGGCAGAAGGTCGCGCAACTGATTCATCTCGAAGTTTGTCGCGTTGATTTTGGTTTTACGAAACAATAAAATTTCGAAGAGCTACGTTTCTCACACCCACATTGGCGCGGAAGTAGAAACGATGCAAATTCCCAAGTACAGCTGGTTTTGCGTTCTAGCCAAGATTATGTGGTACCC